GAAAAAAGGGGGGGGAGGTGGGGGGGGGCTCGTGGCGCCGTGCGGCGCCTGTTTTGGTAAAGAGACACCCTATTATAGGTGTTGACCCCCCCCGGGGGGGAATCCCCGCCCCTCGCACAAACCCCCCCCCAGTTAAAAGGCCCCACAACCTCTTAAAATTTATATAAAAGGGAGAAAAAGAAGGGGGGGGGGGGGGGGGGGGGGGGGGGGGGGCAGTGAAGCTTAATCCAAAGGCTGAACAAACAAAGCAAGTGGCTGCCATGAAAGCACTGCATATTACTAAGTACATGGAGCTGATGCAAGCAAGGCTGACTGTGCTTGCGCCATCACACTGACTGCTGACTGATAACAGAGGATGGTGCTCCCCTTGTTTTTAACTATGTTACATTTCATTTAACTTCATTTGAAAGTCTTGCTATAGCTCTGTACTGGCAGCAGGATCGTAAGGAGAAATTTTGGTTAGTTAAAGGACAATATTGGTCTACCTATTTGAGAACTAAGTGATTCAATATACTTTCATGTCATATTGTTCCAGTCATTGCTTGGCAACATCTCATTTTTGCAAGGATCAAGAAGATTTCTTTATGCTGTGACTCCAAAAGAAACATCTTTTGAAAAGCTTGGAGATGTACCTGATTATCTAAATGAAGTAAGTCACTTTACTTATCCATACTGGGTCTGTAAATTTCATGATGTGAAAAACTGATGTATCTTTAAAATCAGGCAATGAATTATGATAAGCAAATCTGTGAGGGAGTAGGATGGGAATTGTCTGAAAGGTTGTATGGCCAAGAGGGGTAGAAATAAAGATTCCCTCAGTGGGGGAGAAAACTTGAATTTAACTAAAAGGAATGGGGAAAGAGGAGAGACAGGTAGCGGGAAAGAGTTGAATGAATATTGAACATGTAGCTGCAGCCCAGGGTATAATCTATGACAAAGGACCCCAGTTGTTACCCTTAGTCTATAGCAGACCATGTTCAGATGCAATTTTATTTCTAGACAAGACACCAGAAATCCCTATCCTATCCTAGACTATATGAACCAAAAATCCCCAATTATACTTCATATATCACAGACCAATATTCCATACAATGTCTACTGTTACCCTGTTCTAGAACAACTCCCTCTGATTTTTAGCAAGACCCAGTCCCACACTAAACTGCTTGAAAATTCCACCATTCTGATTCCGACACACCTAATTACCATAAAGAGGATATATAGCGTTGCTGCTGATTTTGTTTTACTTTGACCCTTTTTTTATCTTTAGGCCGTTCCATTTTTCTTGGGTGCTATTGCACTGGAGTACATTTTAGCTTTCCTTACTGATCTGCCAAGAGCAAGGTTGAATGATGCATTCAGTTCAGTCTCTGCTGGAGTTTTTTCTCAGTTGTCCAAGTAAGATAAAAAAATTATTGGCAATATTGTCATTTTTAAATGGCTACTTGCATTCAAATTAATATTATGAGTTGACTACTGGTTGATTTTTATGTAAAACGTTATACCTGCTAATGCCATGCTCAGATCACCTGCATTCTGAAATCATAATATATTTATTAAATATTTATTATTGAGAAAGCATTTTGAGTAAAGCAGTACAATGAATTGAAATTAAAGGGGTGTCTGGAATTGAGTACAAAGTTCACGATGTATGATAAACTTCTAGATTCTCATTCCAATTTGCCATTAATTAGCTGTTAAATCAAAGGGAGAATTTGATATTAGATCAGGAGTCCAGTGGGCCCCTATGCCTCCCAATGCTGATTGTGATTTCCAAGATCTGTGAGGATTTTGGCCAATTAGTTTACAACCAGAAAATATCAGAGTATGCACATTTTTACACTCAAGTTTATGTGTTATTGTTGTTCATTTTCTGCTCTTTTTTATTCTTATATAAAATTAATGATTTTTTTTTTCAGGATAATTGTGTTGAGTGTTGAGCTTGCCCTGTACATTTTTGTTTATGATAATTTTCATCTGGTGACTTTGCCCTGGGATTCCCCATGGACCTGGTACATTTGTTTTATTGGAGTGGATTTTATATATTACTGGTTCCATAGGGCAGCTCATGGTAAGTGGCATGTCTTAATACATTAACCCATTTACTCCTGAGCCGCCTGTGCCGTGATGATGTAAAACTTCATTTCCTTGATCCAAAAATTGTCTATGTCATCAAATGATTATCCTTGGTAACTGTATTGACAGGGAGTCTCCTTGATAAGCCCAGAAAAGCTTCTGAGACTTTCTGCTCAATATTGTATAAAATTTTTGTTTTAAGTACATTGCACTACCAAGAAATTGTAAACTTAGATACAATATTGAGCAATAAAAGTAAAAGTATAGTCTGTAAGAGAGTGCTGGTGACCGTGGGTTCTATTTCAGGGGTGCAATGTTATTTACTCAGTTGGTTGATTAGAGTGATTGCCCATTTAGGGAGGGTGCTCATTAGAGTATGGGTGTTTGTTTGGGGAGAGAGAAGTGACAAAAGGATTTATATTACGTTGTTATTTCACTGGCATATATTTCTTTTTCATCTGTAATTTTTTCGAAAAATGATGTATGAAGTGAATTTTTAAAGAAGCTATTAAGTGTATAACTGTTAATAAATTTTTGGACCTTTTTGTAGAAATCAATATTTTTTGGGCAGCCCATCAAGCGCATCATAGTTCAGAGGATTATAATCTTACAACTGCCTTGCGACAATCTGTGGTACAAAATTACACATCTGCGGTAAGTCTGGAGAGTCATTTGTCAAGGCCTTTCCCACATGAGCAAACACAATAAAATGAGATTGAGCTTTGGATGGACAATTTGTATGCAAATCATTGTGTTTTGTCAACCCCAAGTCTCAAGTTGGTGCCTTTGTTCACCAAAAAAAAATGTACAACCAGTCTGTAAGGGCTGAAGCAACTTAAGAGGAAGCATTCATGTCCAACCTTAAAACGGTAGTAATGACTATCTAATGCTTGAGTAAAGAAGGGAGGAGTCCTAGGATGCCTGTTACCCCCCACCCCTGCCCCCCTTTATAATTGAGAAAGACAAAGCTTGTTTGCCGGGGGACTTGCTCATATACTTGGATACAATGGTATAGGTTTCTGCTTATGTACCCGAT